ACATTTGCAACTGTTTGGCCATTCTGTTGTGTTGGCGCTGAGGTTAGATGTGGTGAACTCCCATACAGTTTCTGACATCCCATACCTGGTTGATGTAATCGCCATTACCTACCAGTAAGTTCTTGGATGTCGGTCATCATGGAATGCATATATCCACAAAGGTCACGTTCGATTAATTATCCTGGACTCATCGATTGGTGTGAAAAGACTTTATGCTGGGCGAGTTGAGCAAAGCAAGCTGCAATGCAATACGGATATACAAGGAGTGGGGAATACCCAAAACTCTACGGCCAAGGTAATCAAAAAGCTAGGCTAACGTGAGAATGCGGCATTATGAGTTAGCTTAAAACGTGTTGATATTATAGACCTTGGGCTCAGATAGAAAGTCTAGAGTAGACAAAAATGAATGCCATGCCATACATCGCCCACCGCCTTACAAAAGCCAGCACAGCTTTTCCAAAAGCACTCCGAAATACGTTGTATGGGAGGCAGGAAGGCGAGAACGGTATGCGTGGATGTTCCCATATTTACCTGTAACGTCTCTTAGCATGCAATTGAAGAAGTTTTACAAAAAACCTTTCGTAATGTGTCATCCCAAAGCTCACAGACAATGCTCCTCCAGGAAAGTGAAAGCGATAACCATTGATTGCAACAAATGTGCCTTGGGAAGGTAACAAGTAGATTAGAAATCATTCCTACGAAACACTTCGTTGGTTAATATAGTACGCCCTTATCCACCAGACAAACCTGATAGAAGTGGTGTGTACCACCACAATTCCATGAGACTTCAATTTGTCTTCTCACTCAAGGACCTACCAAGTGCACACGCAGATGGTAGTGTAACCCATTCATTCAAAGAAACCTAAAGCTGCTCGTTACTCATCCTCAGCAGAGGCAAATCCACAGCATGGAGCACTTTGGGGTTCGTTTGGCAATTACTATGCAGAATACCCCAGAAACGTCCTGCATTTCAGATTGACGTGACTCACTCATGGCAGATCAGTACTAGAGTACTCCTCAGAGGAATTACTTATGCACGGAGAGCTTACAAGTCGATGCACTCTCCACATAAACCCTGCCGGCGCGAGGCGCTCTTTCTGCGAAGAGGCCCAAATATGTACTCCCCGCGTTGGTGTGTCACAGCTCCGACTGTTCTCGGGGGCGAATTTCGCTAATCCCTATTAATCCTTATTATCATTCTGTCGTGATTGAAATTTATTTGATGATGAGATATTCCGCAGTTATTTTTCTTTGCTGCATTGCACGCTACTTCATTTCATATTGAACTTTCTCTGTTTTGACAGCAGCGCTACACAGACCTAATCTTCGCGCCAAGGTTGAAGAAGAAATTGGGACGCACGGCGGGGCTTTTTGCCACATTTAAATCACCACAATTCTCCGTAGAAAGCAACGTTCAGTGATGAATATGGCTCAAAATATGTGACGCAAAAATATTCTAATATTTGTCTCACCATCAGCGCAGACTATTTGACGGAATTTGGATCGAGGCGATTCAGCTATTTCCCTACCGGTTAAGTTTCACTCAGACGACTGTCACTGGATTATAGGAAAATGACCAGCTACATTACTTAGGTAATAAAAAATTGCAGAATATAACTTATTAGTAACGTAGCGTGGGAAGTAAGTAAACACATGGTTACCACGTAAGCTTCTGGGGCGAGCATTTACAAGGTGGACGTAGTGTCTCCCGCGAAAGGTGCCCGAAATAATTATATGATAATACACCCTTACCCGCAAACTTCCTATCTGCATGCAAAGGCAATTCGGAAGGCTGTTGCCTTGATGTCACATCGCTGGCGGGCAATACGTAAGTCGTCGCTTGGGAAGAAACGTTACAAGCCTGTACCATATTCACAAGTCACATGTATCCAGTATAATTCGTCAGCTGTTCTGGAAACTTCCTAAGTGGAGTGGTTCGGACTATCAGGATGATGCGTTTTATGTAAGCCGACCGACGTGTGTGCACCACTCTGGGATCGGTGCACCTAAATAACAGCAAGGTTTCCCGTCACGTGAGCAGGCAATTTGTATTTAGCACAAAGGTACTTCATTTGCAACGTCCGGCAAAGCCGGCAACCGGAATGTTTCCACTGACACGCAGTTTTTTTCGAGATGGACCGTCAGTGGGCAGTTACGTGTTGCTTCACAGACCCTACATGAAAGTAAAAAAAGATACAAAGCGTAACACCGTCGTGTCACGAGGGCTGCACGCGGCTGGAGAGCATGAAGAAAGCACCATTTTTCCCCTTGAATATACCTCGAAACAGTGTGCACAGTGACGCAAAATTTTAGATCCTTCCGAATGGAGGCATGACGGGCCTACCAGTGCTCAAGGCGTCCGTCATTAGAGAGGTACACAGCTTTTAAGTAGGTTTAAATGGTTGTTTTAACGAACGTGCGAACTTAGATGACTTGTACCATGTGCATTGCGAACATCCAAGACACCGGAAACCATTGTTAGCATGCTGATGCTTCGTACAAGACTCGACTATGTAGGTTATCACCGTCCGTCTGAATGACGGCGACAGCGGTCTCGCAACCGGCTATGGAAGGTTCCCACATCATCTAAACCCATTACGTGTTTCAGGTCTCAGTGAACAGTGGGGGATAACATTCTTGCACGCAATTCCACACCACCTTAGCGGAAACAACTTTTCCGATTCCAACGACTATCGCTCAGAATTGCAGCAGTTGGTTGTAACTGTTTAGCTCATCCACGGGAAAGGTCGTGAAGAAACCTAGGTGATTTTGAAGCGGTCAATGAGCGTAACCAACATACTAGACTTTAGTTGTAGAAAAATTACGCGTCTCACATTCAGTACTCAAACATTGCCGTTTGAATGTGAGACTGGCTAGCATCGTGTGTTTTACGGCCAGGTTACGGTATTCCACAGGGGCTAACACAAATTATGGTGTGCAGATGAGCAATTTGCCCAAAACAGGGGAAATCTATGAGAATAATAACGTTCCTATCTGTCCGGGAGCCCCGGATCCGCTCGGCGCTTGAGGGTAACCTAATTGAAGGTGGACCTGTTCGTACGAGACAGATTTTATCAACAAACTGCATCCAATGTGTCGTTGCAGCAAGCCTTTCGGAAGCATAAGCTTGCGCTTATAACCCCGCGTAAAGGAATGTTGGCCAAGTAGCACCCACATTTCACAAGTGATTGTAAGATGATCCCCCCATCATTGAATGACCCCAAAAAGGCCAGCCGTGGCCATCAACAGGAAAACACAAGTGTAAACCGGTCGGAATGCACGGGACCACAGTACATCTTCAGAGAAACTAAGCCCGTAGAATCAATTATATGCACGTGATCTTGCCCACTCTATTGCGCAAATGTACCAGGCATCATCAAATATCATGATTAGTTAACACGCATCTGTGGATTATTAACCGGTTCTACTATCAGCTCTGCGATCTGGCTACTATTTCGACTGATCAAAATGCAATCAAGCTATTCGAAACAGTGTGACAAGGACAAAGGCGTTTGAGGTACGCTTCCGGTGGACGGATACCTGCTGTGTACTGCAAATGCTGTCTCTGCATACCGGACGTTCTGATCACTCGTTTTAACTTCTATTTGTGTCCTAATGTAACGCGTCAACAACGCTGATACAGAATTCCTAATCCAGACGTCGGTGACGAGTCGATCAGACTTTTCCACTTCATTTCTTTCATACTGGTTGTACTCTCCTTTAGAATTCACTAGCCCAAGAGTATAGCAGTGAGGATCAAAGCTAAAATTTTTCTGTTTTCTATGAAAAATAATCAATCGGGCATTACCGAACTGCGAATGACTGCAGAAAAACGGATACATAAGCTTATGACCACTTAAGTACATGAACAACGAAATGTTTGGTATTACGGAAACGTTCTTTGGTGCTGATTTTTACTCGTGATATATGCCATGGTTGTGATGGCTATGGCCGACAAGACTGCACCAACTTTCCACATGTACAGACTGTAAATATGAGCAACAGCCATGACAGCAGTAGGTATTAGGGTTTCATTGTTGGATATCTGTATTTAAGACAACTTGTCTAGCTGTGTCGGGTAAACGGGCCCGATGTCTTGCGTTGCGAAGAGGGATTAACTATTCAGTCCTCCAAACTTGAAAAGCATCAACAGACGGTTGTAAACTAAATGATATTATTTTGGCTATGGCGTCCTCGAACATCGCAACGCATGACTATCGCCATCACTAACAAGATCCAGAGCCAACTGTGGACATTAATTCGTTCCCCAGTAAATATGTGAAGACGGGAAAATAGTGGTCTACCTATAGTAAACGAACAAATCGAACTCTGACACGGGTCTGATACGACTGGGAGCGGTTGCTTTCGATTTTCAACAAAGCCAAAAGATGTGGCGTTTGTCCAATATCGTTTGAGAAAAGCTACGTAACGAGATAAAACCTCTTATCATGTTGTTGCAATAATCACCTTATCGCGAAACCGCGATGGTGAAACGAAAACAAGAAACCATGAGTTGCCAGCCTCACAATCAACGCTGACACAGCCTGAGTACTTTGAAGTTACAGTCGACAAAATCACTGTGCGCTGCAAATGATTCCCCAGTAAAACGTAACAGAGCTCCTACGCTGTTTTGATTGTTAGAATCAAAAGCAAGTTCAATATAGGATCAGAGCCATTGACTTCATTATAACGTCACCCTAACGTACCTTAATATTTTTGGGACAACAAAGGACGATCTTAGGATCAGGGTGAACTGCGTTTGTATCCCCTTAAGGGCACAGATCTGGAAACTCAAACCGTCACCTGACGAAGCAGGAAATTCTGAATTACACAAACAAACATCTGGGGTGGGGCAGGCATGCAAAATCCATATTGTCATTTAGGGTTTGATTCGAGCCTTAAAACACTGAAAGACAACTATCCTGTGATGTACCAGAGAGGACAGGATAGGACTGTCCAGTTGTATCAACGCCATTATTGTAAAAAACGAAAGGAAGTGGATTTTCAGCGTGATATACAGGTAGACGTTGATAAAATTATCGGAACAGAACCAGTAGTGGATAGGCGAAGATAGCTATTGTCAATCAAGTGAAGACAGTGGGTAGGGGGAAGATATTATGCTAAGGTCTCACAGAAAAACGCTGCGGTTGACCTGAAGTAATCTGATCATAAAGGACGGAGGAAATATTTACACATTTCCGATCATATGATGAGCCATCACAAAGATGAAAGCATGAATCTTTTGAAGTTGTGGGTATTCTCAAAGTTCGAGAAAAGCCGTAAATGTTCGGATGCAGACATAAATCAATCGCTAATATTCAAAATCGGCTCTCGACGAACCTCGATCAAGTCTGAAAGGTGAGACGCAGAGAAGTTGAGAAGAATCAGTGCAGATAAGGTTGACAAGACAAGCTACGGTTATGAGTGGAACTAAAACCGCGACATTCCCTCCTAATAGACCCGTCCGTGTCGCAACATATTCGATAAATCGATCCCGAATATAACGATCGTGCACACAAAGCAAGAGTAGAGGCACGCAAGGGTGGGAAGCACACCAACGACGTGCAACACGAACAAGAAAAGGTTGGAAAAAGCTGTGAAAGCAGTGTAATCGTTGCATTGACGATGAGATGACAAGCAAAATCATGGGTCCCACATACCTGTGACAACAAAGAGAAGGATATGTTGACCTCCACTCTCACAGGTTCGCACACGTGATGTATGACTTCACTGTTAATGGAAACCCCATTATGACGAATGTTGAGACTACTGTGTAACTTGAGTTAGCGCACGCGCGGGAATGATTTAAGGACCACCGGTAAGCATTCACTGCTTTTTTTACTACTACGACGACCATGGGGTTCAACAAGTTGGTATCTTGCTCCAACTACCTAACTTTAACAAGGATCTAGTGCGTAACTGAACCATTGAATTTGCAGTGAGATCCGCAAGAAACGCATTTTCTTGATGCAGCAGGTAATCTAGCCACGCGTTCTACATGCCACCTTACACAAAAGGTGCCTCATCCTGAACAGCATATACTGCCATCTGTCTTTCAGGATGCGTATAACTGACTTCACCAGTGCCCTTTTAAACAAATACATATTCATTTACAAACCAATTTAATTTTAACGACCGAACCTTTCATTTATGGTATTCTTCAACTAAATGGGCCGCACAAAGGTTACCTAATGCTTTAGTCGGAACGATATTCGAGACATCACGGCGTACTCTCCTGAAGGAATACTACCCATAAGAGTGATGAAAGCTGTTAGACAACCCTCGGCCGGTTTAGCCCTTCTTCGGGCTCATCCGGTAGATGTAGTCCCGAGTTTTCCTCGCACCAAACAGAGGAATTGGAGATATTTGCCCCTGCAATGAAAATCCCGCTGGAACGTAGAAAATTTTCATTGACGTTTCGTGACCTCTAACACGTATACAAATGCCAAACTCTGTTCAGATTTCTGTCTGATTTCAGAAATATGAGGCGAAGAAATGTAGCCGCACAAACCAAATTATCGAGCCAATTAATTACCGAGGACAACTGTCACGCTAAGCACCATCACATACCAATAGGAATATCTAAGCTAGCAACACAACAAAGATGTAGACCAGATTATGTGAAAACAGCTGAGATGCGATCACACAGTCACGGAGCTGCTGCGATTAAGCTAGCATGGTGTACTGTTTACTTGACACGAACCATGAGACTCAAGACCGTTGTCTGAACAAAGTAAGCACAACTGCACTAACTGAATTCTGAGCGAACATAACAATCCACATGAATACACTAAACGCCAAAAATGCACAAAGTGTTCAACATTCATATGCACATAGTAGTGAGTCGTATGATTCTACTGGAATCCGAACATATATCCGATCATTCGCCTCGTTGGGCTGCCCAACTGAAAGCCTTCTGTAATGCCATACAATATGTACCTCTGAATTATAGGTGCTGAAAAATACTGAAGTTCGTCCATTCTACGCTTCACCTCGAACCAGATCAAGATGCCCGTGACAGGCTTACAACACAAAAGAGACCTATAGCGCTTTTGAGGCAACATGGTTTGGAAAGGCTGAAGCCTCTGTGGATAGGGAAGTATGTCAGAGTGGTTTTATAATCCCCACTTCTGTTAACTTCATGTCGTTACCTTTAGGTCATTTCCCTGTTTGTTTTGATCGTAATCATCACCAGCTGGTTCAATGTGTTCATAACAAATTTATCGTGGAAAACATGGGCAGTCCTGGAGTCTGTTTGCCGGATGAATATTCAAATCTTGGTGGGAAGGCGCAACCTACCTTCGCGTGCACATGAGTAGCGAACGGCTTATTCTTCCTTTTTAGTGATCCATAGTGTGCAATCTCAGGCATTTACGTTACAACTATCTTCCAGTAGCCAGCTGAAGATTTCAAATCAGTTTGAAAGCTGAGAATACCACACAAACATCTCACCCGGAGTTTTAACCATAGAATATTCCTTCCCCTTTGCCTATTTATTTCCCTCATAAGCCGTTCTTGAAATCCGCATAACCGTACGTACAAACGGCTCAAAACGACCGCTCAGTTTGGAATCCATTTCCAATTTTATTCGATATGAGGAGTTTTGAGCAACTCTACTTGTGTTCGACGCCATTCCATGTGAAAAAAAATTGGCCGGAATTTTCGAATAAATTGATTTTACAAACTCCCACTAAGGTAATTAGGAATCAGCTCCTAGATATAACATCTGGACAGAGGTCAGCAGTCTCAGATTTGCTCACCATGCAGTATAACAGGAAGTTGTGCACGGACATAAGTTGCACTGTTGTACGGGTCATGGAGAGCGCCAGAGATGCCCAGAACACCAGAGGACAGACAGGTGTACTGCTAACTGGTCCTCTACGGAATGTATATTCACGACTTTTTCTGTACAAGACTGAATGACAGCACACAACGATTCTGATGCTCTGAACGATGGGTTGGATGAGTGCCGAGAGTGGATAGCCATAGACGTGTCAAGTAGAATCGGCTTACATCATCTTTCAATGTCTTTTAAGTGGCGCACCGGTATGCTGTCGTTCCACTTGGTTAGAGTGAATAGTACGACCCTATGGCTGTCGTATGCGGTCCACCACAACTAGCCGGACCGAGTTGGCGTCTCAGGGTCCCGATGGTTCCGAGTACCTGCAAATAAGCTTTGGGGCTAAGCTCAATTACACTGTTGCGGCAAGACAGTTGTCTACCAGGTGTGAACCGATTCCAGATTTCCACTGTTTAGCACAGCTAAACGTTCCGAGAAATCCGACGACCTGGTTCTGTCAGGACGCAACCAGACATGAAAAAGCACATATACGGGAAAAGAAGTATTCCCAAGGTCGTCATCGGTACCACACGTTCCGGATAGCAGGTGCCTTGGCGGAGCCCACCAAACACGGCTTAGCAACATACCAATAGCGGAGTGGGGCTGAAAGTGGCCACGACCGGCGCGCCACCATTGGCTGTAGAGAACGAACAAGTGAGCGAACATAATTGGCCACTTAGTCATCCTACATATTTACGCAGAAGCTCTCTCTGTATTTTTTGTCCTGACAATACAGCCGTGTCCCGAATTCTGTGTCTTCTCCTTATCGCGTAGTCTGGCAGGATGAGTGCAGGCGTAAGCAATAGACGGCCACCCACGATACAACACTGCCAGGCGGGTGTTCACAATGGTGATCTCATTTGAACAGATGCAGTCCCTCCTCAAACAACAGCACCAACTATTTGGGCTGGCGCAGTTAAAGCTAATCGAGACACTGACCGAAAAATTGTCATTGCAGAAGCCGATTAGCCAGACTATTGAGCCGTCCACTTCAGTGATCGACACGATGCTCAACGCGATTCCTGAATTCCAGTTCGATCCGATCTCATACATTACCTTTGATTCTTGGTTCAACAAGCTTGAAGACTTTTTCAGATTGGATCTGGGAAACAGAGAAGATTCCTGGAAAGCAAGACAGTTGGTCAGGAAAATCGGAGTGGCCGAACATGAACGTTTTACGAGCTACATTTTGCCAAGAAAACCGAGTGAGCTGACTTTCGATGAAACCGTTGCGGTATTATCGTTAATCTTCAGAGAACAGGCTTCGTTGTTCAGCCGCCGGTTTCACTGCATGAATTTGAGCAAAAAGGCTGCTGAAGACTGGGTTACGTACGCGAGCAAAGTCAACAAGGAGTGTGAACGATTCAACCTCTGAAGCATGACAGAGGATGAGTTCAAATGTCTTGTATTTGTGTGCGGGTTGACATCTGAAGACGCAGACATGAGAACAAGAATCCTCAGCAAGATTGAGCAGAACCCAGGCGTCACGTTACAGAATATTACGTCGGAATGCCAGCGCATGGTGAATTTAAAGCGTTATACTGTCATGATACAAGAAAGTGGTCCCAGCAATCCTGTTCATGCTATTCAGAAGCATACTGTCCGTCAGGGTGACAAGAAGCATGCTGGAAATGTAGTGAATGACATTTCGTCAACTTTTGTCCGTTCATAAGACACCGCTGCAGCAGGTGCTCCCGTATTGGACACAAAGAAGATCAGTGTCACGGTGAGAAAAGGCAAGCACCTAAGAGGTATTTTCGAACCAGAACTTCCCATTCAAAGCTTCTTAAGGCTCGCGTTGTTCTGGCCGCTCATCAACGCCCACACGTAAACAGGAGGAAATATGTATCACTGCACATTAACGGTACGCCTATTCGTCTCCAGCTGGACACGGCATCAGACCTCTCCATCATCTCAAAAAGAACGTGCAAACTTCTCTTTAGCCCAGCATTAACCAGAACCAAAAAAGTTGCGCGCAGTGCATACGGCAGTCTACTGAAGCTCTCTGGTGAGTTCAGTTGTTTCATTACTTTCGACGACATCATTGTTAGTGGCATTTGTCATGTTTCCGATCTTTCTGGTTCGGATTTAATAGGATTAGTTTTTATCAACAAGCTACACCTCTTGGACAGGCCACTCAATAATGTATGTTACAAAAAAAGGCGACGAAACCGGATATATTCAAAAGGACTCAGAACGTCGCAGTCTGTGCACTAAGTCCTTGTCTTACCACCCTCAATCAAATGGTCAAGCCAGAAGATCTGTGCGTTTCTTTAAACGATCTGTGTTGAGGGTAGGGACCGAAGGACAACAACACACCTTGCACGATAGGCCAGTCGCGGGATTAGCGTTGATGATCTCGGGAGTCTAACAGCTGTTCTCCAGCACGAAACACTTATTGGATCGTGAGTACTCAGTGTTACAAACCCGTACCTGTTGTATCGTGGGTCATCTTAGGATTAATAAATCCAAACAGTTGCTGCTGTTGTCTGAGGAGAGACTGCATCTGTTCAAATGAAATCGCCATTGTGTACATGTGCTTTTTTCATTTCGTGGTGGGTTTTGATAAAGACGAAGCAAGTTTTGAAAGATTTGCAGGGAAGATGTGGTCAGATTCTTGAAAGCCCAAATATTTTGCGATCATTGAGGTTGGTTGGTTGGGCGTACATGCGATTAACCAAATGACCTTCTTGCTCATAACGAGTGATGACCTCAGGACAACAGAGCACACATTTCGAACGCAGGGACTCACAGAAAGGTGCAATTAAACTTCAAAAGATCCATGTGAAACGTGCGCCAAAGAGTATGTAGGCGTCACCTACCTGTCAGAATTTCGTACGATGGAAGACTGAGAGAAGTCAGAGCTGCATTGAGAGCAGGAGAAGTTATCCGTCTCCGTTCTTTGAACCAAGACAGGGATTGTCCGAATGAGCGTTTGCTGCGATCAGGACAGGAATGAGGCCCTAAATTACCCGAGTGAGAGGAAATAAATAAGTGAGGACGATTGTTCCGGGTGATACGATGACACGGTAGTTGAATGTGTGGTGATGAATGAAAGAACCGGAACTGATAACTATGATAGCCCAATTAACAAACCATGGCTTTTGCGAACTTGTACGAAGCGGGGCAACGCTAAGGATGCCACAATAATGTGATATGAACGAACAATCCGCTGTGTCCATTTCGTTGTACATGGAAACCAAATGTGGGAAATGCAGACTCCCAGCCGGACGAAATCCTAGAAAGCCTGGAATCGAATTTCAGTTGATTCCCTACAATATGCACCCACCAAGCTTCTTTTAATTGATGAAAGATGGGCAGATAACTGTACACCACACTGTACACACAGGTGATCAGATATCCAAAGATATTTTAGTGTACCTGATCCAGCAGTCAGCCAAAACACAGGAATAATTGCACATATTTTTCAGGTGGCAAATGAGCACACTGGTGAGTTCTGCGCTGTCCGCTAGTATGACAGCATGACCATCAAAATGTATTGACGCCACATTCATAGCTTTCAAATTGAGATTTCGTTCTTTAAGTGAAGCCAATCTATGCTGCGTCATCAGCAGTGCGCATCTCACGAAACTCCAGAATGTTCATCTTGCGACCCGTCCGGCTAATAGCTTGAACACACGGCCGTTCGGCCACGAGCGGCTGATCAGCAATGTGATTAACTCGAACCTAGGCAGGATGTAGGATATGAGTGAAACAGCTGTACGGCGCTTCTCGGCTTTTCAGCATAGACTGGCTCCCTTTGAAGGACGAAACCTTGATTCGAAAGTCTTCTTACACGACCAGCATTCACGGATTTGTTTGGTACTATTCGTCCCTTTTTCTGCTTGTAAACCATGTAAACAGACCTTTGTTTATAGAACACCAGGGTCTCTATCGCGTGTGCTTACTATGTGTTGGTAACATACTCACGAACTAGCTTATACGGAGATATATTAGAATGAAACTGGCTGTGGTATCCGTTCAAAACACATTGCTATTTATAGAAATGATTCAACTATGTTAAAAAGGGTGGAAGAGGCAAGATATCATTATCCGGACTTTGAAAAACGAGAATACAAATGCGATTTCTCTCGGTCACTGAAGTTTTGCGACTGTGAATAACAAAGCGTGTTTCTGCCCGAAAACGTTATGCACTCAGTCAATAATCATTCACCGGTGCGAGCGGTTTTGACAGGATGACTCGGGCAACCGAGCCAAAGTGACTTCGAATGTTCATAGAAAAACGTGCGAACCAAGTTATTTCTGGCGTATTTAGTCAGTAGTTTCAAATCGACCACAAAGATGTGCGCTAAACTGAGCAGTACCTTGTACTAGCGTAGGATCTGACATTCGGTACTTTCACCTTACAACCCAACAAGGAACCACTTGGTACTCCTTCAATGCGAGTCTGTTAAACAACCCAGAGGGAAGACGATAGCTGGGATATCTCCAGATTGAATAAGCCTAAAGCCATTGACAAGCCACGAGTGGAATCAAACAAGAAATACGGACATACATTCCAAGGTGGCCTCAAGTCGACTACTACATCGGTCATACAATGAATCTCCTACCACTGTATTAGTACTATGTTTACTTGGAGTTCTCCTTTAAGATGTTCACAAAAACTAAACACTCCCAACAGAAGTAAACCTGTCCATAGTCACAAACAAACCGTGTGAATTGTCTCTCCTTGAGGATTTATTCACTGCGTCGCTAACGAGGACATCCACCTCAGTGCCACCTCCTTGAACATCAAGTGGAAGTTGGGCATGAGGTGAGTTGATATCAGCCAATTCTGGATTTGTGAATTTTTCGAGTATTTTTGAGACCCGCGGACTGTGTCGATGAAAGCCGGATCGAAATTGGCGAGAATTGTGAAGTTTGGTCAGACCGTTCTGATAATCACTGACATTTTCCAAACCGATAAGCGACAGAACTGAGGCTCTGTCAGCCGAGCTGGGTACGCGCCGTCTGACCGGACTAGTTTCGGTACTGCCACCGGCAGAACGAACAGAAGAAGGGACGGTTTGAAGTGGGGTGAAGGAGTTCCAGTCGACATTCCGCGGCGGTCCTTTTGTCTCCGGTGAAATGGATAGACAATACCAGTCAGCCAAAACCTCGGTCGACGGCCAGTCGGAAGCGTAGTTATCCGCTGACTAGAAAGAAAACACAACAAAATTACTGAGGATCGACTAATAAGGCAAAACATGACACTGTAAAATAACAAAGGGTTGTCGCTGCGTCAGTCACCAGCACGAAGATTGGAACAGTGGCAACGTGTGCTGGAGATGAGGGTGGGGTTGGAAAATAAAAGCTTGTAACGCGTGAAAAGAAGGCCTATAAGCCTGATGACTGTGCAGAGAGGAACAGCTACATCCATGGAAAACAGATTCATGACTTTGTTCTTCTTATGGCTCATGATGTAATCCCCGTCCCAGAATTTCCACTAGTCTCACTTCGTACTTGGGGACATAGCAGTCGGTAAACTGATTTTGTTTTAAGTTTCTTACAAACTCGGGAACCACATGGTAAGCTCCATAACGGTGGAATTGGCGGTAGACTGTCCAAGAGTTAGCGTCAAATTGAAGAATGGTGTCATATCAGGGAAAGTGGAAAAAATCCACCTCCATTCATTGTGTCGAAAAATGCCCACTGAGGAATTAACGCTCGCGATTGCGTCCAATGCACGAAAATGTTCGAAAAATTGCAACTATTTTACAGAATATGGTAGATTTTTGAAACAGAAAAATTTCCGGTCCTTCGGGTCTCCGCACGGTAGCAGGATTCACACAAGAATATGTCCACCTTAACAGGTGGATTGTTCACGATTTCATCAGTTGTAGCCTGTCATAGGGTTACTCATTCCAGTTTCCTTGAAATCAATCAAGTCTATGCGGATGCATGCTGGGGCACCAGCATTCGAAATTAGAAGGAGCAATATAAAGCCAATGGCCAAATCGCTCGAAAAACATGCTCAGGGCGAATGCAAAACATGTTTGAATAGCATACTATAGCACATCATATAGGTAAGGAACAGGTTCGGTTCAACGAAGAGAACAAACTTAACTGAACTAGATTTTCTGTAACTGAGAACTTATCCATACGGAAGCGAGGCAAGTTCAACGAGAAAACTGCAATCAGAACCTTATGCTTAAACTATACCAATGCGAACTTCAGGTAAGCAATCTTCAGAATGCTATCTAAAAAACCAATCACAAGCGGGTAGTCACAGAAACGGATTTTTATCAACGGACGAAGCATAAAAGCTCGGAGACTTTCCACGGGTTCTACAGTGGTTAGAATGTTAGATCACTGGTTTCTCAAGTTTCGCATTATGAAAACTGATTTCAAAACACGAATATAGTTGAAATGGTCTCTCACATTTTCTGTATTGAAACAAGCAAACACAATAAATAACCTAAAATTTGGAAGACTGCGGTTAGGTGACAGCGTAAGCCAATCGTGAAACTCCGACCGACTCACAGACAAATCCACACTAATAAGAATGGACGCAATAGAAGCATATGAATCTGTATTATTGAGATTAAGCACACACGTTTGTTGTTAACTCATACCATGTATGCTGCTTCCACATCGCTTGTACGAAGTTCTGAGTTTTACGGACGTGTCATTGAATCTAGCACAAATATACCGTTCACTGGACAATTTTTAAAAGTCATTGAAAAACCGGCGTGTGTTTGAGTTTCTTAGAAATCGACAAGCTCATTGCTCAGGACTTTGAGCTTTATAAAGTAGTCATAACGTAAATAGGACGATCACCATTTGGTACTTGGACACGAATTTGAAACCCCATCTCCAGAAGAAACATCGCCAACCTAGAGACATTCCAGTTCTTCTGACGGACGATCTTTGTTGAGGTGTTTTACCGTGGCTACTTGTTTACCTGTTTTAGCTGATATTTACTTCACGGGTTCGTTTTCTGCATGAAGCCGCAATGATGCACTTTGCTAGACATCCAAGTCATTATTATGTAGATTGCTCATAAGCGATGCGCACCAAGGTCAAGCCAGCCAGAGTACGCGAACAAAGAGTCGTTTTAACTGTCTAGCCATTGATGAAATGAAAAAGATTAGATATCTTTTAGTGTGCTAACCGTACAACCAAGTCACACCAAAGATGCGAGCGAAGTTGGTCCCACTTTCCCGGAAAAGTTTGCAAAATAACCAGTAGACTCCAGTACTTTACCGAAAGCGCCGAGGTCTTAATCGATATTTACCTGATTGGTCCCACTTTGTTATGAAAGGTGAAGCATCGGTGTTGAACACTAATGTCATGCTGTCGATGATGATGATGACGATGAAAGGTCACTGAACACCAGCTCAGAAAAAATCCTAGGGGGAAAGTCGTGCACACCTAGGAACAGCCAGAATGACTGGCCTGAAACGATTTCCTGCTGCGATACCTCGAAGTGAGTGGGATGTTGCAAGTTGTCCGCCCTTCAACGTCATATGAGTTCTAGAAACACCAGACAACACAAACTTCATCATCTAAAGATGATATGACACGGCAATTTGCGATTCGCCCTGTCTACCAAATCCATTCATCTCACACATTCAATCCGCGCTTAAAAGTTCCTGAGGTATTCGTTCCGGTTTGCTACGGGCTGCTTTATCATACCAATTTGCAGCGTACCACGAGTACGAGTAAATGGGTATGTGAAAAGCAGGCAAACCGATAAACGAATGTTCTGTGAAGCAGAAAAGAAGATGAACGGTAAGTCGATGGTTACGGGAGTTTCCGTAAACAGGTAAACCGGAGGGACGACGTTGGAGTTTGAAAGGCAGCGTCCGACACGGCCACCCGATGCCCATCGGCTCATTTTATCAGAGAAGCAAACCGGAATTTCTCGACGTCCAAGGACAGTGGCTGGAATGATCAATAGATGGAACTTTCAGGATTGACGGCTCGGGTGACCACATCGTACTTTGAAACACTAAGATCGTTTCATCCATGCGACCAATGCAGAATGGAGGGGTAATTAGTGAGATGTTAACATTCCATTCAGTTTCGTCAGCCGCCACGTAAAGCACACACCAGCTGTAGCAAAACAGCCTAGTAACAAGATGCCAGCATGACGAGTAGAGTTTCAGTGAAGGATGAAGGAGGGGGGTAAGTTGCGAGGTAAACAGAACCCTGAGCAGACTCTTTCTGAGCAAATAAGTTTAGTCCAGGTTCTGTAAGATAATTTTCAACGCCAACCGCGCAACTTGTCACAAGTGAACACTTCGTTGTCGAAGACGGTAGGTCACATCTTTCACTTGGCAGCAATCGACTTCATTGTAACACCAGGATATATGCAGGCAATCAGTGTGAAAGATACTACTATGTTCTGCCAGTGTGCGAGCAATCGCATTTCCAAGTGTACTTGTAGATTCCGGAGAACGGACAGAGCAGGTTCACATAAAGTACGTAGATGACATCAATCTAAGTTCGGTAGCTGAGTGGGTCCAGTCAATCGCAGTTGTCAACTCGGACTCTGCATAGTGCTGGTCCCTGGTGTGATAAGATCTTACGTGGGAGAGTTTAATTTAGTGATATGGTGTGGAACCGCAAATTAATCTAGGTCGAACTAATGGACTCAGGCCTGTGTTGGGTAACCTCGGTTTAATGAAGAAGCTGAGCAAAATATCGGAATGTACCACTCGCTTCTGTGGACCTACCAATGAGTGACTTACACGCACATTTTGGTCAATAGTACACGTTGAAAAATTATGGCAGAAATGTGGTGGCTTTAAATTCGGATATATGCTTGGTGCTCACCACAAGTCCAGAGCCCACAACAATCATAGGCACAATTACCGTTTACCCTATTGACGCGTACCTACAGAATTTATAGAAGTATCGGTCGTGTGCTGAACCAGCATGGCAAACATATCGATCCTGGTTGGCCTTGAAAAGTCCGTGAATGCAACTGGGTCACATGTATCAGACCTAGAACAAAGTGGACGCGATCGCAGCCGCACATGTTTAAGAGACCACTTCGAAGACAAGCTGGAACACGTGACAGAGCAATAACCTACCCCTTTTGGTTGTTCCGTTATTGGTTCATGATCTAGAGACTCGAAAAAGACCTTGTCATTCGGTGGCCAGGTCCGAGGAAGACAACACTTGTGCATGAAACCCAGGCCTGCAGTACGTCCACAACGGCATTCGGGATGTTCGTTCACCCGTGAAATGGCAAATTCAGCTTGACCCTTTCCTTGAGGACCGAGAACCTGCATGAACTTCACACCCGACAGTCGACTCGATTGTATATGGTTGGTGTTGTTAGGCGTTGTCCCAAACTGCCTTTTCAGCATAGTCGCTGTATCAAGACGAGACGTGGGAGCAGCCTGATAGGACGTTAAAAACAAAGGGCTTTGGTGAATGAATTGCACAAAGAAAGCATCTCGAAAAATGATTCGAACCGAGATATAGGATAATAAAAACCCACACCATACAATATGTATAAAAAGATGGGATCATTTCCATATGTACCACAATGATGGGAACATTTTGCATAGTTGGCATCAAGGTACTGGGTTTTTTGAATGAGTACTGATGAAAATAAGTGCTTGCCAAACAACCTTCGTCGGATGTCCTCAAAGCTTGGTACAGATGGAGGGCTTGCGAGAACAGGTTCGGGAATCTGGGATTCGGGTAGTGCAATGTGCTGTTAAATCCGTAGTACTGACATCAGCTAGCTACTTCTTCGCTGTTCGTCAGAAAGTTGCCGGTTCTCACCTGTGGCTCCAAAAGTAGTAATGGAGAGTGAGCTACATCAATTGAGGGGAGCCGATTAAGGCGGTATCCCAGTACACGAAACCGTAAAATGTTAAGAAAGGAGGCGATATCGAAGGAAGAGGCCCACCTGGACAACCAGATGGAGCGATCGAGTCTTGTGATGACCAATGGGCTTCCGCTGTAGTGCTACATTTCGGGTCGTCGGTTACACACGACAGAACAAAAGATTGGAGCTATTTCATTTCAATGTCCTCGCCTCTCGCACACTATACAGATAAGCCTCAGGAACAGCGATGAATGAATCGGGAAGAAAGGAAGCTTCTCTGGTATTTTTAACCCACAGTAAGGAACGCTTACATCACAGTGTTCTCAGAAAGCTAGGGTAAATCAGTAAGCATGTCCTTAAAGATGACTGAATTAAAATTACCTCTGTTGGAAGCGAGTGATAGCAGTGCCAGCAAGAAGTTGTATCATTTTCCAGTCCAAATGCTCTTATTTTTAACGAAACCTGTAACTCTGACGATCATACCAACCCATCTCAAGGGACACTATCTACCAGCACGTCGGTCTGTAGCAGCTCATCAGCCACAAATGCCTTAATCGGGGGCGAAAAGAAAAAATCGTTCAGCTGTGGCACCCTTTCGGTGTCTGACTGCCATTCCACCAGAAGGGCTGGGATACTGTCAGGTTGCCCAAGCCTAGACAGGGGAAGTCGACAGGCAGAGGTTGGGTTCGAACCATGGACTTTCCTGCCAGTAAATTCGCGCTCTTGCCACTGAGCTATCTCGCCCAGGTGGAGTGAACAGTGACCCTGGTGAACAATATATGCTCAGACAAAGACCACCAGGCGCTTCCAACAGCATGTTGTCCACCCCGTACAGTTTACGATGAAAGAACTCGTTTCCATCAACCATTTACAACACAACGGATGTCGCTACATGTTACGGCAAACAGGATCTATCCACACTGACTTATGTAAAGCTTCCGGCCAAATAGACTGCAATGTGTCGCGAAGTACAACTATAACTATATACATCAAGCCAGACGAATTCAAATGAATATAAGCTAAAATTCCTCTAGTAACACCCAGCCCCCTGCGGACAATGACCAGATTCGTGATGGGCCTAGTCGGCGTTGAAATGATGGTTTTCTAGGTTCACACGATTGACTATCATTAGAACTAGGAAATTTGGTCATTAAGGCGGTCCAAATATTCGCATTACTCGAATATCTTGTTATTAAAACAAGAAGTGTCCATTCAAATACAGGACGTCTTGTAAAATGTATCCAGATGCAACATCCGAACCAAGGTTTGGGTCTACCACCTGACCCCCTTCTCACCTTGCAGTTCAGCCCTGTTTGAGTAATACTCACCGTGTATCTGCAAGATCACAGAGCGGTGGGCCGGGTACGTGCTCTGCAAAACAAGCTGCGCGGATTGATGCTCTTACTAGCTACAAAAATCAGGCGACTAGCAGAGGGCTTAGTTGGCTTATGGTATGGACGGAAATGGGTGTACGGTGGATAACCACTGATGGGGCACGAGAGTAGTATGTTTTCTCGCAAATCCGCTTCGCGTCTCTTGAAAAGTGAGATCTATTAAGAAATTTGCTTGCATTTGAGCAACAGTTGATGGATATCCGGGAAAGTTCAGGAAGACCCGTTCAAGGAGAAGATGGATATTCAGTTTTTGTAAACAAGATGCATGTGAGAGTTCTGCTTCCTGTCCAATAGTCTGTAACTGTCCAGTTGGCGTTTTCTAATGAGCCACTCCGCAGCGAAGGCTTTCTTCCATTCACTGGTAGTGATCCAAACGGACAATCTTATTCCACATCGCAGAGTCGCCTTATTTTCATGCATATGACAACTGCTGTTGGGTAACAAAAACACCAAGTGCCACACATCAGACTCGCACAGGGTGACCTGGAAACCACTTGACGTACATTTTAAGGAGTACTGTTACTTTAACACCATTGTGTATGCAATGATCCCGTGTAGCACCGCACTCTCAGAAACATATAGGGCTTTGCACGAAACAGTGCTGTGATTAGTACCTTACAGTGAAGTTGTTATTACGAAACTTTCGAAAATGAATTCGTGGCAGGTGACCAGATGCTAGACGACAAACACTAACCTTTGAGTCATGGAATTTCTTCAAAGAACCATACTGAAGCGTGCCAAGGAAGCAAACACCTTGCAACCGCCCAGATAAATCGTAGGCAGTGAGTTCCACACATAGACATTCGCTGTCACGAAGGCTGCATTCTGAAAACAACTGAGACGGAAGGGGGAGTCAATGGTGGAATCTACTTTCGCCGAAACTAACGGGAACATGTGGGAGGAGATAGATGACTTACACCTAACCTATAATGATCCAATATATATTCGAACTAGACATATCATCGCCTGATGTCAAGACTGTTTAGCTGACACCGAGGTTCCAGTCTGCGCACGGTGTGAGGTGTTGAACCCCGAAGGACCGAAGGCCCGATTCGGGTTCAAACAGGTCATAAGGTTAACGGAAACTGATGGACTGCATCTACTTCATGGGCCCAAGGAAGGGCAAAACGGGTCGTGGGATGCCGGAGGGCTTTCAGCAACCTTATGAGTACTTCCTCATCAAGAAAACATAAGACTCCTGTTGTTATGCCTGGACTAGTGAACGAATTCAATGTCGGCGGAAAAATCGTATCATTGAGGGGTTGTTGGGGGACTTCCCGTAGATTTGATACCACCAACGTCTTAAAAACGTCCAAGTGAATCTTCAGTAGTCAGTGGTTAAACTGAAAAGGGTTTGGACACCACTCCTCGCACAAAAGCGCATTCACAATCAGCGGCTCTTGAAGTGGACAAATCATCTTAAGTGCTAAGATGCCTTGTGTCTATGTCCCAACTTGTGCGATCCCTTGTTCCCCCAGTGTAATTTACTTTACCTATCAAAGCGAAGCATCGGATTTGGACGTCGTGACAATGAAATAGACAAAAATGGTGGACTGGCGGTCGACGAACTGTCCGTTGGGACAGTCACCCATGATAAAACTCGAACAAATATGAAACATCGACTGACCAGAGGAAGTGTCCAAGCTCACCTAATCAGGACTCATTAGTTCAGGCTCAACGTCTCTTACGTAGCTACCAGAAGTTTTCCCTCATGGTAACTGAGAGATCTGAACCTGATGACGAAAGGTGACCGGTATCGTGATTCAACAAACCAACGAAGGTCACCTGTTGGCTGAAAATATGCTCACCAGGTCGACATGTCACAATACTCCGCCGACAACAGGCCAATATTCTCTACTCGTGTTGAAGCTCTCAGCAGAACATGTTAGGTAACGTGGTGGCAAAGGCAGACAAAATAACTGCATCGTATTCGTGTCAAATTTCAACTTACCTCACTGTAGTTGTCTACACTGAAGAACAGGTTGGGATAGACAACCTCCTCGCGAGTACCCTTGCTGTCCATTCGCCGACGGCTGGGCGAAGCATATACGGTCTACGTAGGTGTGAATACAGAATATCCGATGCAAGTAACCGTAATGAGCAAGGGAACACTCACTTATAAACGTGAGATTGAAGCAGGCGCTAAAGGGTGCTAAACTGGACTATGACAGCATCTCTTAGGTAGTAACTTTAATTGTCTTCTGGAGAGATGCGAACTGAATGATTTGTCATTTGTTGGTAAAAGAATATTGAATCATACCTTTAGAAGAACCAGTTTAGTGTCATAAACCGGCTACTCACTATTCCCCCAAACGAGTTTATCCCAGAGAATCGAGCTCTGTGTATATTCCTCAATAAGGCTGAGAAGCACTTAGCAGATATCCTTGTCACCGCCTCAACGAAATTCGGGTGTGCAATATCCCTGGCGTTTTTCACTGCCCCACGGAGGCGTACGAAGCCACACTTTTCGATAATTCAGAGAAATCTGCCTTAAAGAGGTATGATAACATGTCCAACAACAACCGAAGGGTGAGGGCACGTCCCTATTCATTGAAATTTCCACCAACGGATGATACCCCAAGGCCTGCAACCAGCCATCAAACACTATCGTCATAGCTATTCGCGCAAGGGATGACAAGTGTTCATTAGGTGGCTTGGCTGATCTTATTTTGTGATGTCTTGACGAACCGAGAAAATATAGTTCGGTACCGTGACAGTGATATAAGGGATAAACAGTTGTATGTGGAGTCGATCAGAACAACGAAGGCAGCCAAGGAACCAGTCAATTGAGAGGAAATCGGGCCACAACGCAAGAAAATCTAGAATGAATCTAGCAATCAACTAGAGAACCGAAACCATCAGTAGCCAATCATGCTAGAGATACAGGTTGCCCTCAGTTAAACTAAATAAACACGGGCACGAAGGCACTAGCGCGCTGACTGTTTCCTCCAATGATAACGGAACGTCTGTGTAAATCCATTGTAGAGCACTAGCACTAGCAGCGTCCTTGTCCAGTTATCGCTTGTGGGAACAATCCTCAAGGGATTTCCTTTATAAGGAAACTGTTTACCTAGAGGCCAAGTATGGCGAAGAACGGCTGTACTGGTTTCTCACTGCTCTGTTGGGACAGTTGTAGACGGAACGTGGTAGTATTCCATTCGCACAATCACAGGATGCAAATTTCCCTCATAACAGCGAAACATTTAGTTTTGGAGTAGACGCTCTTTAGGTCAACTAGTGATCGCCCCTTCATGAAGTTGGCGCCGTGTCTATCGGATTAGTCAACCAGTGGCGCCCCTTATATACCGAACACACCGAATGCATTTGGATAAGCTGGGTGATAAGAACGGCTGGCGCTCAGCAGTATGGGTATGTCTGTCTTCGGCCAACTGTTTTTTCGCCCCGGGTATTCCATCTGCATAGGAACCGACGGCAATTGATCACTCGTGTTAGTGAGTCATCTTTAAATGGATTTGCTCACATGTAGGCTTGTCTTCGGAATGCAGACGAAGGAGTTTCGAGCCAAATTTGAGGGTAAGTTCAAAGTGTTACGTCACATGTGGTGAAGGATCGCAAAGTCCAAAGTATATTAAGAGCGTGTGAGAAAACGATTCGGTGAAAAACAACACCGAAAACAACAAAAACATCAAAACCAGAGAGCGTCGAGATAGACGGGCAATCAGAATAAAGATAAGGCGAACAAACAGCAGACACGTACCTCAGAGAACTTTTTCAAAATCTGTATTTCTTGTGGACCCGTTCGTGTGCATACAGCTACCGTAGCCACATAGATGAACTAGACCGAAAAAGCAAAGAAGACACAACAAAAGCTTGAAACATAACCCCACATAGGTTAGACGTTTTATGTGGTCAGTTGGTCACACCAACAGATCAAAAGGTGCACCAAATGATTTGCGACTGTTCATAAAATCTCACAGTAACGAAGATCGAAAAGTCAAGGTTCTCCATTTATATCACCAAAGTATTGTGAAAGCCTGTCATGATAGTTCCACAAACTGTTGAAAGTGCACAAAACAGAATGAGTGAACGATCCAGTCGTAGCACTCCTTTGAGGCCTAGTTGCCATGCCCCTCCGCACCGAAGGAATTACGAGGGCCGAGATGCTGCCAGGATGCCCAAGCCTAGACCGAATCTGTCGGGTTCGAACCACGGACCTTCTGATCAGTAATTTCGTGCCTTAACCAATGAACCATCTTGAGCTGACGAAGTGTTAATCGTGTCTGACTAAAGTAGAACAGTAAGTCAGCGAGTCCCACCAAACTCCTGAGGTAGTTCGAAGCTTAAAACATCATTTCATGAAGGTAGGCTCGAAGCCTGAGTCATCGAGATTGCTCCTGCACATAATTAGGCAAAACTTCAGTTATTGCGGGCTTCTTTGGATTGCAAGTCTGTTATAAACCTAAAGGATGTCATGATTGGGCAATTCATCTGTAGGATTGTTCGCAAAAATCTACTTGACTACCATTCCACGCGGCTCATAATCTGAACATTCATCTCAATTGTTATTAGGAAATATGGATTACTGGACCTTGCGCGTGGCTTACCAGTCATAGAACCTGTGGTTATTGTCAGGATCAAAGAACGCAAGTGATATACGGTTCTTACAGCTGACAATGATGATGACGACGATGAGAGTAGTTCGCAAAATGCATCAGTATGGGTTTATATAAAGAAAGAATAAACCAGACCCTAAAGTGTGAAGTTGAACGGAATTTATGGACTCGGTGTCTAGTCTAATGCCTACTGGAACGATCTGGATAAAGGGAGGCCAGCTGAAAAGAACCATGTTTGCTGCCATAAGGTATGTCAGTACCATTGAGTAGTCACAAGACACCCAAGTCCAAGCACTATCGCATACAGTGAGGTATTGGAATTCGTTGTTCGAAAGCTCGGGGACTGTTTGACCGAAAATGACGATTTAATTGAGGTGAAGTACCGCAGCGATATTGCTCAGAAATCATACTCCGAACTCGGAAGTGCCACAGTATGGTCAGCAGCAATGATTGATATATTGGTCCGGCTTGACTGCCCGCATACACCCCCCCCCCAGAAAGTCTGATTATAG